GAAAAGAAAAATAAGTAAATAAATAAATTTTTTTTATAAAAAAAAGAATGTTGACCAGTAGAGGCTGTGGCGTAGGTCTGGGGTCCACCGACTGACTCTTGTTTCTTTTCAGTTCACAGAGCCCAGTAGCCAGTTGTCTTATTACCTATGTTAATTGTACCAAATGAGTTGTATTTTCTCCTTAGTCTCTGTTTATAAGAGATTTAGATGAGTACAATTATTTATGATGCTCATTTATATCTTTATATTAAATACCTATTGTTGAATTGTTATATTAATTTGAAGGTTTCATATTAATATTGTTCACTGTTTCTCATATTAAAAAGCCACGTGATTACTTCCTTTTAGAATTTAAACCATTTAAAAAATGTTTCTCTTTTTATCTTTCCTCCTGTAATACCATGATAACTTTAAAACTATACCTCCTTTTCTTGTCTTTTTCTTTTCTGATTGTTTACCAGAAACTCAGGATAATACGTGATGACATCTCTTATTTTTTTCCTGGTTCCTATTAACTTCTGTTACTAGGTATTTTCTACTTTATCCATATTGGTTCAGATCATTTAGTTTCATCATCAGTAACTTTCCTGAGGCATATCTGTGGATTTTGTGTAAGAAATACCAAGTCTATTCAGGAAACAACAGGGTATAATTTGTAAAATAATTATACGTAAGCTGAGGTAAACCTCTGTATGTTTGAAAACATTACATTGTCAAAGGCATTTGATCACCAGCGTTTGTCCTGTGGGCAGGAAGCAAGAAAGCTGACTGTCTGTGTATCACACTTAATGACTGGAGGTCACATTGCTCTCCGCAGATCGGGAAACTGCATAGTGAACTGGACATGGTGAAAATGAATGTGAAAGTGATGACTGCCATATTGATGGAGAACATTCCTGGGTCTGAAAACCATGAAGACATAGAGCTCCTGCAGGTATGAGGAGGCCAGGGGCAAACAAGCAATGAGTTCTGAAAAGTCATTTTCTGAGGAACTTTGAACTTTGGAGATGGAAGGCTTGTTAATAGCATCTAATGGCCCCTCCCCTTACATCTTGGATTCCTTTGATTTCTAAACTTAATGAAAAGATACAGTAATCATTTTGTCAGAAATGCAGTAGTAACAGACATGATCAACCCTAGCCCTTTTATAAAAAATAATTTACTGTAATTTATAGCTCGGTCCTATGCAATCCAGGCTTACATTTGAAGTATGTAAAATTGCCTTATGTCCATCTGCTCAGCAAACTCTGAGTGGTTGTGTTGTGGTTAGGGGTGTAGAAATGAAGGGGCTGTCCTAGGCCTTGGCTAGGTTGGTTTGTAAACAAGATAGTAAAGTATTACAAGTGCCTGGATAAAAATATGTCAGTCTGTGGTATGATCGTGAGTGGGGAAGACACAATTTTAAGTGAAAATGTGGATATAAAGAGTACTTAGCTGTGGAGGAGCAGAGTCATTTAACCTGAACCCACATGAGTGGCTGCGTGGTTATCCCACAGTTTTTTCTACTAATGTGCCTACGTATGTTTACCTCCCCTCTACTGTCAATTTTAATTTTTAGTATTTATTAGTTGTACTAAGGCGCAATGGTTCATGTATGTAATACTAGTACTTGGGAGGCTGAGGTGGAGGATCCCTTGAGCCCAGGAGTTCAAGACTACCTGAGCAACCTGGCAAGACTCTTATATAACAAAATGAAGCAATCAGATATAGAATTCCATTTAATCCTTATTGGTTTAAGAGGCAGTCGGGGTAAAAAGTCAGTTCCTAAGTCTTTCCTGAAAGTTAAGAACCTCCTGGTGTTTTTCCTCTTCTCAGATCCCCACTCCTCATTTTCTGTGGTGGTGTTACCTTTCTTCTACTGAAGCATACCCTCCTCCTAGGAGTAAACTTCGAGTACTTGCATGTCCTAGAACATTTTTTTGTTCCATGCAAAATGCCAGTTAATTTAGCTCGATAGATTCTAAGCATAGCATTCTTTCCCATGAGTCCTTGGAAGGAGATGTTCCATCGTTCTCCTGAATCCTGTGATGTTGATGAGAATATTCTTCAAGCTCTGATCCCTCCTCACTTGTTTCATAGTTGATTAGTTATTTTTTCCTGTTCTGCTGTGAACAGATGTTTGTGTATGTGCATACATGTATAATTCCCTTATTCTCCTTCCTGATAGTTTCTAGGTCCTTATCAGCCTTAGGTGTATTTTTGATTCTAGGACCTATTTAGTTTTTACCAAAGATATTTCATCTATTTTCCATTCTTTCTAGTCTTACACAGTGTTTAGACAATGAGATTTCCAGATGGATTTTTATTATTTCTCTTATTTTAAACTTTTCTTCATTTGTTTGAGCTATGGTTCTTGGTAAAAATTCTGTATTTGATGTAATGTTTCTTGAAAACTTATATATCAGTTTCCCTAATCAGCTTTCCCACTAAATGCATTATTTTAGTTATTACCTTTTTGTTTAAAACCCTGTGTGGATTTTTATAGCAGTGCTGATTTTTTGTTGTGGTTGTTTGCTCCTCTGTTTCACTTTTAAAGCTGCCTTTCTATCTGTAGTGTGGACTCTTATTTACATATTCTTCTGTTTATTACCTCTCATATCCTATGAGAGGCTCTCTGCCAGCTGTTGGGCATTGTCTGCTGACCCATGCCGAGAGAATTTCAAGGCTGCAGGATGTGGTTGGTACTGGTTTTCAGCATTTGAGTATTTTGCATGGGATGATGCTGACTGTAATACAGTGGTAGCTGATCTTCTGGATTATAGGCTTTCCACTGTCTTCCTCGATATTGTCAGCAATAGGAAAAAAGACTATCTGCCCCAATCATGGTTCTCACCTAGAAACATTTTACACACACACACACACACACACACACACACACACACACACACACACACACACACGTTTAAAAGAAAATAAATCTTCCACACATTTACTTAGATATTTTTATAAAAATTAAACATGGAATCTCCATACATCATCTCTCTATATCTTAGTAGAGACCACTAGGACCTCATGTACACCTTTTAAAACACACCTCCCCCCATTAATGGACATGAGCTTATGCTATCTGCCAGGTGAATAACTATAAGATGATTTCAACTCCCATTTTGGGAGCATCAAGCTCTAGATGAGATATATCTCTTCTCTGTTTCACTGGGGACATCATGTTATGCCCTGAAAGGAGCTTAATCAGATTTCCAGAAAGAATCACTAAAAGCATATAAACTGGCCACGAGTGGCTGTAAGCCTATGAACCCAGCATTTTGTCAGCTGAGGCAGAAATATCTCCAGTTGGGACCAGTAGGGTCTGTGTAGTGAGTTTAAGATCAGCCTGGGCCATAGAGTAAGAGACCTAGTCTCAAAAAATAAAATGAGCACAGAAACTGAGAAGCTATATAGACATATCCAATTTTAAAAGAGCCTTCTGGTGGCATTAATTCTAGGAAAGACCAAATTTTAGAAAACAACTTAAAAAACCTTTTGTTTGATATAAATGATTTTTTAAAATGATATATAGATGGAAGTTTACAAAGCAAGCTTTATCTGGCTTAGTGGTGCGTGCCTTTTTAACCCCAGCACTTGGGAGGTCGAGACAGGTGGATCTTTGTAGTTGAAAGCCAGCCTGGTCAACAGAGTGAATTTCAAGCCAGCCAAGGCTATACAGTGAGAACTTGCTTCAAAATAACCTGTTTTTATCTTTTTAAAAATTTATAAAGTTATGATATATTATGACTTTGGCTCTGCCTCCCAAGTGCTGGGATTAAAGGTGTGCGCCACCACCGCCCCCCAGCTATTATGACATTTTAAAAAAGCCATTTAATCCAACATCTGCAAATTTATTGGACCAAAGAATTTCTGCTTGCTAAATATATAAAACGAAACAAAAGAATAATATAACTTAGAGCAACAAATAATTTTAAAAAAACAACCAGGGTCTTACTCTATATTCCAAGCTATCTTTGTATTTGCTGTGAAGCCCAACCTGCCAAACTTATGGCAATCCTCCTGCCTCAGCCTTCTAAATGCTGAGGTTACACTACACTTGGCTCAAACCATTAATTTCAATCACCAATGTAGGCATATTTTATTTAGGAGCATTGCATCATTTCGCTCAGCATTCTTAGAGTTCTTTACTCTCATTGGACTTTTGCTATTTGTATGAAATGAAGAGCTTACATGATATTTAATAAAAATAATATTAGTGGCATCCTATTAGTGTAGGGGAATAAAAGAAAAATCAATCATTGGAGTTCATGTGTAGTAATCCCTTAAAGAAAAATACAATTGTCCCATTTTTAGACATAAAATTTGTAGCTTGTGTTGCTAACAAGTATGTTCAATTAAAATTTAAAAACAAATATTAGAATATAAGGGTATGTTGCACATAGCAATTTTAAACAATTGCTACAGCAATATTCCTGGTTTTGCATGATCTTCTGAAGCCTGTTCCAAGCCTTAAATTGAAGTGACTTATGACTTTCCTCTCATGTTCTCATCCATCCATGGCAAATAAGCCTTGAATAAAAATATACACCAAAACGCTCCATTTAAGTATGTGAATTGAGTTCTATATGTTATTCCGTTAGGAACAAAAGTCTTTTTGTCTCAGTCTGTGGGCGTAGATGTGTAGTGGTTTTCAAGTATGATTGTTGGTTGCTGTTCTGATGCCAGAGCCCAGGGCTGTGTATTTCTCTGCATAGCAAGGACACTTAGGTGATGAGTCAGCATTAGAATCCAGCCCATGCTCAGTTCTGACACAGATCAGCTTGCTTACAAAGACAATACAGCATTTAACTTTAATTTTCTTCTTATGCTTTCTGTAAGCAATACATTAACGATCTGGTGTGAACAACACTGCTTAATTTCTCTTTTTTCTTTCTTCCTTTTTTTTTTGTGGGTGGGGGTTGGGGGGTGAGGGGGTGGGGGGGGTTGTTTTTCTAGGCAGGTTTCTCTGTGTAGCCCTGGCTATCCTGGAATTCACTCTGTAGACCAGGCTGGCCTCAAACTCACAGAGATCTGCCTGCCTCTGCCTCCCAAGTGCTGGGATTAAAGGCGTGCGCCACCATAGCCTGGGCTGTTCTTAATTTCTTTTTCCAAATATTTTTTAATCTAATTAACTTTCTTTATTCTAATCATCCTCTATGGTTAATCTAAAACAATGAACTGGATGTAATCATCTATGGAGAGAAATGACTGGGAGCCTATGTTTAAAGATAAGTATAACAAAGATTGACTGTGGCTGAAAAGAGTGATTCTTTAGATTCTTATTTTTTACTGTTTCAAATTTTCTTACACCTGTCTGAACTGTGGGGACCAGTAGCACATGAACCCTGGGCGATGGGTAATAAGCTCTACTTCCTGATTGGCCACCTTCATAGAAACTACAGGAGATTCTGGAGGCTCAGCATGAGCCTAGTTCAGTGGTTTCTCAACTTTCCTAATACTGTAACCTTTTAATACAGTTCCTCATATTGTGGTGACCCCCAACCATAAAATTATTTTCATTGCTACTTCATAACTGTAATTTTGCTACTATTATGAATCGTAATGTAAATATCTGATATCCAGGGTATCTGGTATGTGCCCCCAAATGGTCATGACCTACATGTTGGGGACCACTGGTCCAGGTGGTCCTCAGAGAAGATGAGAACTAACAGCAAGGAATTATGTGTAGAGGGTGTCGTGAGCACATTGGCACCATTGGCAGAAGTGGACACATCTAATATCAAGACCATGCCTTCACCCCTTCCTCCCATCAACTGCCAGTATGCCCAGTTTGTTGAACCCCATCAGAAACCAGTAGCCATTGAGGGCCTACTGATGCAGCCAACAGAACAGAGGAAGGTAGTAAGTATGTGTGATCCTTGGATCCGGAAGACAAAAAGAAGGAAAGTGGTCAGCAAATAGGAGAAGTCTCCTCTCAAACCCTGTTGG